AATGCAAGAGCTTTTACCAGCTTTGTCTGATCCACCAGCTACAGCCATGTCTGGATGTGGGATAACTTAGCCACTGTAGTCCCTGCATGGGTCACAGCAAGACTAGATTACTGCAATACATTCTATTGTGGGACTGGTCTGGAAACCGTAGCTAGTACAGGACCAGCGTTTGAAATTTGCCAGGTGCACTTTGCACCTGGCTATCGGCCACTTGCAAACAAGTTAAGATGCCCGGGCGCAAGTATGGTGTCTGGCATCTCCACCATCTGGAGGTGCATGCCTGGGAACCCTTGGATCTTGACTGTTTTCACACACTAGCAACGCATCCTGTAGAATTCTACCTATTATATTTTATCTGCGCAATCAGAAGGAATTTCAGGAACCAAAAAGTCATATTGAAAAATACGACGTTCGTGTCATCTGGCCCCCAAAGGGCAACTAGGCATTTTGTTTCGAGACTGTAACCCTGGTTTAAGGAGCCATTCGGCACCTAGCTTATATATCCGAGTTTCTAACACTGTACAGAACGCAGCGGCTAGATTGCTGATGGGGGCAGATGGTCGACAGCACGTAACAACCAGTTGGTTAGAGTGTGGTGCTGATAACACCTCGAGGTTGCAGGTTTGATCCTCGAATGGGACAGCTGCATATTCTTGCCTTGCAGGGGGTTGAACTAGATCATGGGTAGGCAAACTAAGGCCCAGGGGCCAGATCCGGCCCAATCGCCTTCTAAATCCGGCCAGCAGACGGTCTGGGAATCAGCATGTTTTTACATTAGAATGTGTCCTTTTATTTAAAATGCAGCTCTGGGTTATTTGTGGGGCCTGCCTGGTGTTTTTACATGAGTAGAATGTGTCCTTTTATTTAAAATGCATCTCTGGGTTATTTGTGGGGCATAGGAATTTGTTCTTTTTTCTCTCTTCAAAATATAGTCTGGCCCCCCACAAGGTCTGAGGGAATGTGGACCGGCCCCCTGCTGAAAGAGTTTGCTGACCCCTGGAGTAGATGATCCTCAGGGTCTCTTCCAACTCTATGATTCTATGACCCCTCTGCTCAAACATCTACACTGGCTGCCCCTACGTTACTGGCCCAGGTTCGAGGCTCATGTGCTGATATACAAATCCCTGAACAACTTGTGTCCAGGAGTGCTTAAGGACTGCCTGAGTCCTTGTATCCTCATCACTGAAATCACCCCAAGGAGCACTGCTAGTTGTTTTCCGTGTTACAGAGGCCCAACTCACCTTAACCAGAAGTCGACCATTTAGTGTCGCCAGTCTCATACCATGAAATACTCTTGCAGTAGAGATTCAGCAGGCACTCTCGCTTTTGACTCTTGCAAGACGTTTTTACACCAACAGGTCTATGCAATTGTTTAACATTTTCTGGAGCAGCCAGTCATTTCAACGATGGTTCCGTACTGCTTTTAATGGCTTTTTAACAGTTTTATAGCGCTGTGCAATATTTGGTGATAGAGGATGGTATAGAAATACTTCTATAAATAAACAAATAAACATGTGGACCAGTAGCTTAAGTGCCTTCTCGTTGTCATTGTTATTGTCTCGTTATTTTGATCATGGTATTTTTCTGAGTTACCTGCCTTCATGTGAACAATGCAACATGTGAGCCAATAATAATAGTAATAATTTATTGTTTATATGCCACCCATCTGACTGGATTGCCCCAGTCACTCTGGGCAGCTTCCAACCAATTAAAACACAGTAAGACATCAAACATTAAAAACTTCGCTAAACAGGGCTGCCTTCAGATGTCTTCTAAAAGTCAGAGAGTTGTTTAATTCCCTGACATCTGACAGGAGGGCGTTCCATAGGGCGGGCACGACTATCGAGAAGGCCCTCTGCCTAGTTCCCTGTAGTCTCACTTCTTGCAATGGGGGAACCACCAGTCAGTGTCCGGGCTAAACAATGGGGGTGGAGTCGCTCCTTCAGATATATATACTGGGCCAAAGCCATTAGGGCTTTAAAGGTCAGTACCTACACTGTCTTGTCATTATACTATTCATTTTGTGAGCGATCAGCTTCTGTGGTATATTACTCAAGCAAATATGGGCAAGAATATGGGAACCTGAATAAAGACCTCCAATATAATATGATTCCCAGCTCAGAGATACACAGAACTTGATGCACAAACTCCATGTGCCTAGGCTGCCTTAGACCCACCGGCTGACACCCCACTCTTAAACACAGTGCCTAGAATTAATATTCATTAAAATAAATGAGTTTCATTTCCATTTCCTGCATTTAGGTCAAGGGTGCTGCTAGCTGAAGCCGAGGGTGAAGTATTCCAACTCAGGTGATCTGCATGTATTGTAGTCCTACATACACACAGTTTTGAGATCACTGATCATCTGTCTAACTTAGAAAAGTCTCACACATGGCTACGCAAATACTACACACTGCAAACGACCTGACCCCCCAATCACGATTATCCAAATTCAGCCTTAAGCACCCATGTTAGCTGTCAATCAAATCAAGGATGAGACTGTATACACGCAACCACAGTTGCACCTGCTCACCTATGCACGCACACAAATAAATGTGCACACAGACACGAGGGCAAGTTCCTGAGCACTGGAGTGGCACCAGCAGCACCAAATCCATGAAACAACACGCTAGCCCCGGGAAAGTCACTTGAAAGTACTCCAAGACGCACTCATAACAAGAACATTTTGAAACACGCACAGATAACCCACCCATACAATGCACTGCTTAAAGGTAAAGGTACCCCTGCCCGTTCGGGCCAGTCTTGCCAGACTCTAGGGTTGTGCGCTCATCTCACTCTATACGCCGGGAGCCAGCGCTGTCCGCAGACACTTCCAGGTCACGTGGCCAGCGTGACAAGCTGCATCTGGCGAGCCAGCGCAGCACACGGAACGCCGTTTACCTTCCCGCTAGTAAGCGGTCCCTATTTATCTACTTGCACCCGGAGGTGCTTTCGAACTGCTAGGTTGGCAGGCGCTGGGACCGAATGACGGGAGCGCACCCCGCCGCAGGGATTCAAACCGCCGACCATGCGATGGGCAAGTCCTAGGCGCTGAGGTTTTACCCACAGCGCCACCCGCGTCCCTGCTTAGAGGACTGTAATAAAGCAGTATATAAAGTGTCAAAAGAAATAAAACACACACATGTCAAGTTATGCATACGGAGGCATAGGTGGGATATGTGCGCATGAGTGTGTGTGCGCACACGACTGGTGATATGGTTTCAGTCTTACCTTGAATCACCAATTATAATAACCGTGCCAGCACTGTTGGCTATTTGTCCTTGTTGTTGTCATTTTAACAGGACAAGCCACTAATATGTGTCCACAGCTCACCCATCACAAAATGCTGCCCTGCTCCTTATTGGCACAGACAGCCCCTCCATCAATGCAGAGGTCTTCCCGCCCCATATCTGCCTATTTCTACAAATTCCACATCAGTCAATGGTCAGAAGAGGAAAATGTCACCCAGTTTCAAAAAGAGGTTGGCAGGGAGGCGCAACAAGATGGCTAAGACAGCCACAGTTCCTTTGAGTGCCATACTCATCCCTAATATGGATAAACACAATTAATGCCCCAAATTGGGCCTTCCCTCTACCCCAGGTTTCTGTCCAAACGCATTACTATAGTGCCTGCAATTTGCACATTTGCTGTAGATCTTCCACAGTCCCCAGGGACAGACAGAGAGGAAACTGAGGCACAGAGCAGGTAACAAGCTTATTCTCCCCTGCCACCACCACCCCTTTCACCCAACACCATATGCATACAAGGTCACACAGTGAATCAACAATAGAGATAAGGTGGATATTTAAAATGCCAGAAGTCTGGGCTCCTATTTCCAACTTCCCGGGGGTCTCCCCCTTCTATCTTCTTCCCTGCCCTGGCTAGAGATATAACTTGGGGTTCCCTGAAACCCTAGAGTACTGCTAGACCACATTTCTTGCCAGAGGGGGAAATAATCCACACGTTCAAATAAATACCCAGGCTAGTCAAGATGCATTTTCCAAACCTGACAAGGCTATTCAGGTTCCGAATGACAGTCCTGACGAGGAGGGGGTGGTGCTGGGTTCAAGCCCCCATTTCTTACAGCTCCCTCGCATCCTCCTGCAAGCTACATGTCCCATCTTCCCTGGCATGCAGAGTATTCTCGCCTCACCCCAGATGTGGGGAGCAGAAAGGGCGGTGGAAGAGGAAGGGGGGGGAAGCCTCCTTTATGGCACACTCTTCCTCAGAACACGTGGATGCCATAGAAACCACATCCTGGAACCCCACCCTCGAGAATACCCCGCTGGGGGTGGCTTCAGAAGTCTCCATCCCCCTGGAAAGAGCCAGGAGAGGGTTAAAAAACAAGGCCTCAGTCTGATCCTGGTGTGAACACCCCATGCCTAGAATTTGAACTGCCTGCTTCCAGTACCCAGCCCCTCCTGGATGCAGGTCCTCCGTTCTGTAGCCAAAGAAAAAAACCCCAGACGAGAAACCAAACACCCCATAATCAGGGGTGCAGGGAGGAACCCACAGAATATTAATGTCCCAGGGAGATTCACTAAGTGCTGTGATTTCGCTGCCTGTTGTTCTGGTCTACCCAGCTTATTTATTTTTTTATCATTCTATTTTTTCGTCCCCATCGCTCCGGACTCAAAGTCGCCCTTGGGAAGACTCCGGCCTTGGCAAGCGGGGTCTGGCGGTGCGAGGGGCGGATGGGGGTCACCCCGGAACAGAGGCCAAGATCAGCCAACCCAGGAGGTGGGCTTCCCTGTTGGGAAGCCAACCTCCTAGCTTCCTAACCTCCCCAAATAATTGGCAAGATCTGTCTCCCCTTCAGACACCAAGACCACCACAGCGGGGTGGTGGGGAAGGCAACCCTGGTTTTCCTCAACCCCCCTCCTTTTTTTTTTTAACTTATCCTCCCTTCCCTAAGCCAAGGACGTTTCCAAGATCTTGGAAATAGGAAAGCAGAAAGGGGAGGTGAGATGGTGGGGAGCCAGGACTGGCTTCTTCCTTACCTTCTTGTTGCTCTTGCTATAGCCAAAAGTGGCGATCCCTGCTCGAGGAGGCACAGAAAGGAGCATTTTCGCTTTAATGTTAGAGAGCTTGGGAAGGGAGGGGGAAGAGGGGGAAGAGAGAGAGAGAGAGAGAGAGACACACACTCACACACACACTCACACACAGAAAAGAGAGAGAGAGAGAGAGAGACAGGGCTTCTGGCTTACGTCACCAAGGCAAGCCAGCTTGGAATCCAGGGCCAGAGTGTCTGCTTTCCGCAAGGTCCTAACGCCTGCCGCTGGGGAAAATGGGTAAGGCTCCCTTCCTCATGCAGCTGGGAAACAAAATAAAGAAATAAATAATTGGCAGAAATCAAAGCACACGACTGACAACACACAAATCTTCTGACACAAAAGTCTGCCTTCGAGAGAAGAACACCTAGGAGGGACTGAGCCGCATAGCTGTCAACTTTTCCCGTTTTTTAAGGGAAATTCCCTTATTCCGAATAGGATTCCTTGCAAGGAAAGGGAGAAGTTGACAGCTATGCTGAGCCATAGGGGACGCGGGTGGTGCTGTGGGTTAAACCACAGAGCCTAGGACTTGCCGATCAGAAGGTCGGTGGTTCGAATCCCCACAACGGGATGAGCTCCCGTTGCTCAGTCCCAGCTCCTCCCAACCTAGCAGTTCGAAAGCACGTCAAAGCACAAGTAGATAAATAGGTACTGCTCCAGCGGGAAGGTAAACGGCATTTCCGTGCGCTGCTCTGGTTCGCCAGAAGCGGCTTAGTCATGCTGGCCACATGAACCGGAAGCTGTACGCCTGCTCCCTCGGCCAAGAAAGCGAGATGAGCACCGCAACCCCAGAGTCGGCCACGACTGGACCTAATGGTCAGGGGTCCCTTTACCTTTTTATGCTGAGCCGTGAAGTTCACAGGGCACCCAGCGGCCCTGGCGTGGCATCATCCCCTTTTCACGCGGGCAGTTTTGCCACTCGTGATGCAAAAAAACCCCACCATGAGAACTGCCTGCGATACACTGCAGGGTTGGCGTGCATGCAAAAAAAATCACACCATGTTCTTCTGACACCTGAAGGGAGGATCTGTTGCGATTCCCAAACCACCCAGGGCAGTCAGTGTTAAAATGTCAGGAGGCATTTTCTGTCCTTTTTTTTTTTTTTTGCAAAACTGAATGCCTGGGCAGTTAGCTGAGAGCCCCCTTGTGGTTTGGTGTTTCCCTGGATACAAACTGATTCCTGCACATTTTTATAGCGGAGAACAAATAGAATCTCACAGTTGTTTAATCGCTAAGTCCTCATCTGGTTTTTAGATTCTCTGGAGCACTTGGCTTGCTAGCATCCGCAAGCAGAAGCAAGCTTTCTTTTTTTCCCTGACTTAAAACTAGAGGTACCCTTTTTATATCGCACAAGGTCTAGAGTTACCCAGTCGCAGAGGAGCCTATTCCGTATGATTCTGCATGGGTCACTGATCTGGGCACAACTCCTGTTTCGAAGGCAAACCAAGAGCAGTCAATCATGCAGAGAAGCAATGAAAAGACTCCTCTGAGGGCAGGTAATTCTGCTGCCTCTGCATAGGGAATGATTAATTGCTTCAACTTCACCAGATGCAGAGAGAACAGAGAAGGAGCCACCCTTGCTCAGAAGGCAGACTGGAAGGAGCCAAAGGCCAGAGCAGGAAATCATGCAGAGACACAGCAGGCAGCCTCCTCCAGGCTCACAGGAGTCTTTAGGTATTTGATCTACTTCTCATGATGCTCTAGTGTGTCCCAGCACAAAGGACACTTCCAGTCAGTCTCTTTATTGAGCATTCATCCTGCTTTGTTTGTTGGGAAGTTAGACCACACTGTGTTATCTCACACTTTCCAGACCCTTTTGCTATTGGTTCACATCTGACAAAAAGTCAGATGTAAAGAAGTAGAAGGTTCATTTTACCACATGTCGTGGACGTGCAAAGTAGCTGAGGACTTTGGGGAGATGATTTATAATGAGTTGAAAAATGTATTTAAGGTAACTTTCCCCAAAAGACCAGAAGCTTTTTTTACTAGTGATAACTGGAGCAGGTGAAGTTGTGCCCAAAAAAAAACAGATAAATCAATTTCTTTACGCAACTATGACAGCACAGATATTATACGTACAAAAAATGGCATGATGAGGTGGTACCTACCAAAGAAAAATGGCAGCTGAAATTAGTAAAATATGTAGAATTGGCAAGTTTGGCGTGTAAAATTAGAGATCAGAAAGAGACTGATTTTAAAGAAGATTGGGAAATGTTTGCAGAATACTTTAAAACTCAAGTGTAAAAATGTTAGAATGCAAATAGGATTTGAGGAAGAACAGTAGGGGGGGTGAACTTTTTGTTTTTATTGTAAGATAAGGCAAAGGCATAGAGTAACTATGCATAAACTGAAATTTTGAGGGAACCAAAGAGGGTGGGAGGAAGGAAGAGAGGGAAAGTCATAGATGAAATGTTGTTGAATTGTTATCTGTTGAAAAATTATAAATAAAATTAGAGAGAGAGAAAGAGAGAGAGTCAGATCTCCTGAGTAAATGGGTTTGTTGTAACTGCACAACCTGAAAACAAAGATAGTCTGAAAGCATCCATGGTTAAATCCCAATCCCACTATAACGCAAATATCCTATGGCCAAAATATTTATTTTCAGTATTTCAAGTATTTATTGAACTTAGAAAGTGAGTTTTCTTTCTGCAGAGTTTGTCTGCTTATCTGTCCAGCACATAAGGAGTTCCCACAAACATCAGCATCCTCTTCCCACCTATGAAGAGCATCCGTATACAATCAGTAGTCCTGACACATGCAGCCTAGGACATGCTGATGGGATTATATATAGAAACCTCATCCATCCATTCATTCACACCTCTTTTCCTTGTAAGTCCCACTGCCTTTAGACAGGTGACCCATCTTCAAAGCTCTTGCAGTCATGTGGAGGAGTCCACCAACTCACCATTCAGGTAGAACTGTATGAAAAGTAGGGCAACAGAAGGATCATCTTTCATTCGCTTCATTCCTCCACCTTCCCCTTGTTTTCAAATTGAGATGAATGGGCCCTTGCCATCTTTGAATTCCTTATTATGCATGTGGCCCCTTTCAACAGCAGGAATCCTTTGCTGGATCCAGACCTTGAACCTTCAACTGTAACAAAAAGGTGCTTTGATTAATTTATTATTATTAGTAGTAGTAGTATTAGTATTATTGATATATAAGCCGCCTTTCAGTACAGAGTAAACCACAAGGTAGTTTCCAGTATAATATTTAAATACACAATACAAATAAAATCAAACCACAAAATGCTAATAAACTGAAATTCAATATAAAAATAATTACTAGCAGTATATCAGACAAACAAAGGCACCAGACACCAGTTAAACCATAAATCTCTCCAAAGGCTTGAGAGAACAGGTATGTTTTAAGACAAAAAAATTTAATAACTTGGTAGACATCCAAGGGCAGAGACTTCCTCAGGTGGGGTGCTACTACAGAGAAGGGCTTGTCCTGTGATCTTTGTATAGTGTGATCTAGTGGCAGCATTCTGCACTAGCTGCAGTTTCTGGACCATCCAAAAAAACAAAACATATAGAGCATATTACCAGTAATCAAGATGTGAGGATTCTATACCTGAAAGAGTGTCTCCATCCACATCGATCTGCCCGGACACCGAGGTCCAGCTCTGAGGGTCTTCTGGCGGTTCCCTCACTGCGAGAAGCAAAGTTACAGGGAACCAGGTAGAGGGCCTTCTCGGCGGTGGCGCCCACCCTGTGGAATGCCCTCCCACCAGATGTCAAAGAGAAAAATAACTACCAAACTTTTAGAAGACATCTGAAGGCAGCCCTGTTTAGGGAAGTTTTTAATGACTGATGTTTTAATGTATTTTTAATCTCTTGCTGGAAGCTGCCCAGAGTGACTGGGGAAACCCAGCCAGATGGGCGGGGTATAATTAATAAAAAATATTATTATTATTATTACTACTACTACTACTATTATTATTCAGTACTGCAGTGTCATGGGCTGGTTGGACGCAGAGGAATGGCAGGAGGAACCAACTGGAGAACAACCACCGGAAGAAGGCTCAAAGCCCAGGAAGTGGTGGTGGGACAATTATGAGTGGTCAAAGGGAGAGGACCAGGAAGAGGAGGTGTCGGAAGCTGAAGAGATAGCAGGGCTTAGGGAGCGGGGAGAGTCTGTGGCAGAGAGAAGTCCAGAATCAAAGGTAGAAGCTGAAGCAGGAGAGGAAGCAGGCCAAGAGGCAGAGATGAGTCAGGCTGCTGAAGAGTCACAGTTGTCTCCCCAACCCTCGCTGCGACAAGCTCCCCCGCACTGCGGGGCTGCCCTTGAAGCTGTCCCAGAAACTCCAGCGGGTGCAGAATGCTGCAGCGAGGCTCCTCACGGGGTCTCTGCCATGGGAGCATATTCACCCAGTGCTTTTCCAGCTGCACTGGCTCCCGGTGGAGTACAGGGTCAGATTTAAGGTGCTGGTTTTGACCTTTAAAGCCCTTCACTGCCTAGGACCCTCGTACCTACGGGGCCGCCTCTCCCGGTATGCCCCACGGAGAGCCTCAAGGTCCATAAATAGCAACACCCTAGTGGTCCCGAGCCCTAAGGAAGTTAGATTAGCTGCAACCAGAGCCAGGGCCTTTTCAACACTGGCTCCGGCCTGGTGGAACTCTCTGCCTCATGAGACCAGGGCCCTGCAGGATCTGATTTCTTTCCGCAGGGCCTGTAAGACAGAGTTGTTCCGCCTGGCCTTTGGCTTAGAGCCAATTTGATTCCCTCCCCCTCTTTCTTTTTTCTTTTCCTTTCTCCTCCTGCGATGAGGCTACATTTTAATATTTTAATGTTTCAATATTTTAATGTTGTATTTTAATTTTGTTTTTAAGTTATATTCATTCAACTTGTTTTTATTATTGCTTGTTAGCCGCCCTGAGCCCAGCCTTGGCTGGGGAGGGCGGGGTATAAATTATTATTATTATTATTATTATTATTATTATTATTATTATTATTATTATTGTCTCTCAGAACCAGAAGAGACATGAAAAGGGCGGAGGAGAGGTTGGCTGCATTCAGGCGCAGTCTCAGATTGCTTGGGGAAAGCCCTGGAGAAGAGGGAACGTAGATGGCTGTGAGGAGATGGGGACTCTCAGTCTCTGCAACAGATTTTAATGACGTG